TGATTATCTTCTTCTATTTAATCATAACCCCCCCCCCACACACACACACACACAAAAACAGACTATAAGTTGTTAAAGAAAACTTTGTATAAATATAAATTTTGGGCTTCCTTTTTTCTAGGACCAAAGAGCTGAACAGTGAGCCTTGAGTTCCTGGAAAAATAAGAAAACTCTAAACATTGTGGTGCTGTAGGATAAGCACTGGACTGCTAACTGCAAGGTTGGCAGCTCAAACCCACCAGTTGCTCCTTGGAAATCCTATATAGGGTCTCCATGAGTTAGAACTGAGTCCACAACACTTAACAATAGCAATTACTTCAAAAGGGTGGGGAAAGGAGACCGTTTAAATTTCCAAAGAAAATATTAATGTAAAAAAACAAAAATTAAAAATTAAAACCAACTTAACCAAATAGGCAAAAAAAATATTTTGATTCATATTATGAAATTTGACCCAAAAAATTGATCCACAAAACAAAAATGGTCTTGTAAGAAATAAAGGAGCGCTCTGATAAAAGTGTTCTTAGAACTGAAAAGCACACTATAAACTAGAAATAAAATTAAGGTTGAATATTGTATCAATAAAGTAAATGAAAGAATATTCAGAATAGTCTGCCTGGTCACTACCTCATTCTTAGGTTTATTAACCTGATTTTAGAGCTGTGTTTGCTCTCATAAATAAACACCAAAAAGTAATATCTCTTCTAAACAAGTATCTGTTTTAGTAGGTTTACTAGAGTGAGTATTAGGACAGGAACAGAAACAGAGGAGAGCTTGCAGTATATGCCCAGTTTAACATTTAAAAATGTTGTAGAAATAAATCAATAAATGAATTAAATAAAAAAAAAACTAAACATTCACTTTAGAACTGTTGTATTTTTTTTTCAAAGTAAGTCATCATAAAATAGAAGTATTCCAAGCATTCTTTTTTTACATAAGTTTATATATATAAAATCCCCTTTAATTTGAATGCTAACACTTGGATGGATCGCCCTCCTTCCTTTCTTCCTTCTGTTTTCCCCTTTTCCTCTCTCCATCTCTTCCTCCCTTTATTATGGAATTGAACATCTATTGAATATTTACTGAGTTCTCATAAGTCTGGTTACAATGAAGCATGCACCACAATTCCCATCCTAATTGGATTCATATTATATTTGTGGAATAAACACATGTAAAAATTGCTTGGATTACTTGCGTGTACCATGGCTTTGGCTGACCACCTTATGTATTTAACTTTGTCATAGCAGTGTTTTAAATGACATATTTTATAGGGTAAATCTGCTACCAAAGGCTGAGTTTAAGTGTTATAAAGCAAAGATGTCAAGACAAGTTCAAGGAAATCAATCTAATAAGTTTTCTTCAGAATCAATTCTAGAGGGTTTCAAATGCCTTTGCAGTTTGAAAATTTCATACAATATAAATAAAAATTCTAAGTTGTTGTATAGACTGACAATTAAAATAGATCATTATTTTCCCTATTTTTATAATCACAGTGTAATGCTATCATTATTGATCTCAAATCTACTGTATTAAAATACTGAAATTTACAGTTCCAT